GTGGCGGGCCGCCCCTGTCACTTGTCGGGAACACGGGGAGACGACACTGCGAGCAAGGCCCGCGCCGGGGGTCGCTGTCAGGCAGACCTCCGCTCCGGCGTGTGCCCTGGGGCACCTGCAGGCAAGAGTGCACACCCCGACTTGGCCGAGGGCTCACGGAGGAGAGGAGGGGGTCGGTGCGGTCCTAGGGAGAGTCCCGGGCCGCGAGGGAGGAGTTCGCGGTCTTGTCCCCCCACCTCTTTGGTTTAGGCCTTTTTAAGTGCGGCCTCAGGGTTTTGCTTTGAGCACCCCCTCGGCCCCCCCAAGTGGATGCCCATTTCACCTCCACCATGTGAGCGCACTGGAGATTCTGCCTTAATGGAGGCGGAGTGTTCCCTGAAGACCTGAATGCTCCCTGGAAAGCTGCTCCCACGTGTGGGCTTCCAAGGATCGAGACTGTGCCTGGCCTGTCCGGGCATGGCCCAGCTTAGGGTCTGTTCAGGTGGAACAGCTAATTGCTCTCTCTTTGGACTTAGCTGTTCTGCCCCCGAGCGCACCCCAAGGCCCGGTGGCGTTGGTGAAACTAGCACTAAGGGAAGGCGTTGATGGGAGGAGCCTGTCCTTTCTAAGGGTACACTTGGAACTGAAGTTGGGGAGACAGAAAAATACGTGGGGGTAGTCGAGTGGTCCTCGGTAAGTGAGGGAAACAGGCAGTCAGGAAGTAGATGGTCCGACCCTTCAACGTTAAGCTTTTAGGGCCACCCTGGCCACAAATATCTAGGGGTAGAAAAACACCAAAATAGCCCACAAGATTAGTTTTCTATGTTCCGCTTCATTTTCCCTTTGTTTTGCAGTTAAAGAATAGGTGCTTATGATGTTGGGTTCTGTCAACATCAGTTGGCTTTAATTTTTAAAAATGGCTGCCATTTATGAGTCATGTGCTGTGGCTGGGACTGCTAATCATTTCCAGTGTTTCTCATCACAGGGACCCAGTGAGGTGGAGACGGTCACATTTTGTAGATGAGTTGACTGATACCCACAGAGGTTGAGAGGCTTGCCCAAGACACACTGAGCCAAGGGTTTGAACCCAATCTGTCTGAGGTCCATGTTCTAAAAAAAAGCTCATATATCTAATATTTTAATCAAAGTAATCTGCACCGTAAAGCATCAGTGAAAAACTTAGGTTGAGGAGCAGCACTCCCTGTCTTACTCCTCAAAGACTTACATCTTTTTGTTGTTCGCTCAGGGAGGTCTCCATAGCCCTGAAGAGTAAGGTCATATTTTATTAGTTTTACACATTGTTGACTTTGTTATTATAGGATGATTTAATTCTTTGTATCATATCCCGCTTTTTCTGTTTCCTTTCTTCATTATGTTCAGTTAATTCAAATTGTTTAAGACTGAGCAAGTATTGTTTGCTTCATGACTAATACTTTTTTTTCTCTTCTACAGCTTTTTGTTTTTTTCTGTTGTTTGTATTGGCCTGTCTTTTTCTTTGCATTTTCTGTTCCCATTGACTCTTTACATGTAAGTTTTAAATTCTCAAGGATAATGTCAGATCTCTCTAACTTCCCCTCTTCTCCCTAGTCCTCTTTTTTCTAATATGGATTGATTACTCCTTAGGCCAGTACAAGTATTCTTATATTTTCCTTTTTTATACATCCGAGTTTGTTCAGGATTCCATATTTTAATCTTGGCTTTCTTCTTCATTTCAATTTCATTTCTGGCAAGTAGTCTTACTCCTTTTGGGTAACTCTTTAGGATCCTCTTTGATGTTAAGACATTTTCATTTTCAAAGTGCCCTAGGATGTGGAGTCCCACTGCAGATGCTCTGTGCTTCTGGGGGCTTGCCCTGAAGCTCTGGGAAATTCTCTTGTATCAGTTGAGAATTTCTTCTGCATTTATTCTTTCTGTTGTTTTGATGATGGACATCTTGTATTGACCCACTGAATCTCGTCTTTATCCTCTTCCTCTGTCACTTTATTCTCATTTTTGGGAGAGGGCTTCAATTTATCTCCCAGTCTGGTTTTAAATTTTTTATTTCCACAATTGAAAATTATCAAGAGTTTATTCTGTTTTTGTTTTCCATGGTAGCTACTTGTATTATGAATGTATTAGTTTCTTGATTTTGAGGATACCAATAAGGATTTTTTCAATTCTTTTCTTCTTTGAATTCTTAACTTCCTCTAGTGTCATTGTTGTCATCATCTTTTTAAAAATATTGGCGTCATACTTCATATGGTAAATACTCCTTAAATATTGGTAATTATTGTTTAAGGCAAGAGGAAATGGGCAGAGAGCGCTGAGTCTGTGGGACTGGTTTTGAAAACGTGTGGGTCTCCCCTCAAGTGATTGGAAACTTGTTACTGTGTGGGACTTCGAGTGCCAGATTGCAGAGAATTTTCCTCTGGGTCTTACAGCTTAAGAAAGACTCCTTTGATTTGGGGCTAGTCTACTTGGTCTAGGGAGGGTTCTTGTATAGCTTTTCTGTGCAGGGATCCAACTTCTGTGAGCAGGCACAGCCCATGCTCTGCTGAGTGTCCTGGCCTGCCACAGGCTTAGAGCCCTCCTTTGGCTGTACCCACTCCTGTGTGCTCCACATTGTGGTTTCCTTTACCCTCATTAGATCCTTTGAGTCTCCCAGAAGTTTGCAAAGTATCTGGCCTGTGTCTGTCTTTCTTGTGGGTTTATTATATGCAATTAAAAATTATCTTAATGGGATGAACAGAGATCACCTTTGTGGCCAGTTACTCACTGTGAGCAGGAATTCCAGAGCCCGTTCTTGTCATTCTGGTTCTTGTCATTCTGCTCTCCTGCTGCCCTGTGGCCTTGGTAATGAATGCCTTCCGTTGGTGGAATGGGTGGCCTGATCATTGTCCCCGTGGCCATCTCTGCGTTGCAGTGTGGGCGGATGTTATGTGTTCCTGCTGGAGGTTCTGGTTCCGCAGCCTTGGAGGAGTGCCAAGCTCAGCTGGAGAAGGCCAACCATAGACAAATGTAGCAAAGGTTGTGATTTCAGACTCTTAAGGTCGCCTTGTCAACACCAGCTTCTCACACCATGTCATTATACTAGGTAGCACTTCGTGTGCCAGATTTAAGGATTGCCTCTAGTTAAGCAGTGATAACTGTACTTAAAGTGTAGTCCTGATGCATTTGAAAGTTGTGCACAGTGAAATATGTCAGCTGCATCTGTCAGGGCCTAGCAGGGCCCACATGAAGTGGTTCATGGGCCAGTGACTTCACCATCACTTGGTGTTTGAGAGGAAGGCAAACTCTGAGCTCCCCACCAGGCCTGTGGAAGCAGAATCTGCAGCTTTGTAAACTTTTCATTTTGAAGTAATTTTAGATTTACAGAAAAATTGCAGAAATAGTTCAGACAACTTCCCTGTTTCTGTCACCCACTTCCGGTAGTGCTGACTTCTTATATAACCAGATATCCTTATAAAAATCAGAAAATTCACATCGGCACAGTACTACTAACTAAACTACAGACCTAAGTGAATTTCATAAGTTTTCCATTAATACCCTTTTTCTGTTTCAGGATTTAATCCAGGATCTCACTCTGCATTTAGTTGTCATGTCTCCTGAAGTCTCCTCCAATCTGTGATATTTACATAGTCCCAAAGTATCTCTCCCAAGATATTTATAAAGTACAAAGGGAAAAAATGGTAACTTCACAGTGGAAAAACCTGACAGATACCACCTTAACATTACCAGTAATAACACATATGATAATCACGTACCCCAGTGTGGTACACTGAGACAGAAATGCATACCCATGGTCCAGTCATGAGAAAACCCAAATTGAGGGTCATTCGCCAAAATCTTAACTGGTGCTCCTCAAAAGTATCCAGGTCTTGAAAGAGAAAGACTCAGAATTTGCATTTAAAAACATTGCCAAGTTTGGTGTATGCACTTTGACGCTGAAGAAATACTTCCTGTGCTAGATGGTCGCCAAGGAAATACGATAAAGAACCACAGTCTTGTTTTATGGATTGGCAAATGGGTACTTCAGGCACAGGTTCTGGGTGAGCTTGTGGTAATGGTGTAGCTTAATAGCCATCATCTCTCCTTAATGATCTTCGTCCACCCTGTGTAAGTCCTGACAACTTTAGCTGTACAAGTAAATACCTTACATGACCCACAAGATTAACTTGAAAATGTGCATGTAACTTTACCAGTTCAGCTATTTAAATCTGGGAAAAAGAAACGTTTTTCTCATTTTGAAGAAGCTCTTGGAGGAAAATACATGTTAAGGTTTTCAATGAGAATGTCTCAGATAAAAGCTTTCAAAAGTCCTCTGTATAACAGGTAAATAAATATCGTTCTTGTATTCTCTGGCTTCATGGATGTGATGGTCATAAAAACAAAATCACATAATGGACTGTTCATTGGAAGTACTCTGAACCATTCCGAAGTGTTCACTTTTCTGGGGTGTGAGGAGGAGTTTTAGGGAATTTGAGAGCAAGTATTGAGTGGGATCACATAATTGCAGTTTGCTTTTAAAAAGCTACACTTGTTTTCTTGTCGGGGCCCAGTACCTAGAGCTCATTTTGCTCATCACCGAGAGAATCAGCAGTGACCCCTGCTTTCACTTTTGTCTTGTGTAGGCTGTGAAACCAGTTAAAAATTAGAGCTTTAGCTAATATCTCATGCTATCTTTGCCTTGCCTTTTGGCTCTGTTCATTGTCCAGGACTGTGCCTGGGCTGTCCCCCCGACACCGCCCCCCCCCCCCGGAAGTTCTTGACTCCTTACCCCCAGGGCAGCTGTGAGGTGTGGCATCCTCATAGTGCACCAAAGTACCTCTCTTTAAGAGGAGGAAGCGGAGCTTGGGATCAGCCCCTGGAGCCTCCCGATGCTTGAAACGTGTGGATGTTCTTGATTTAAAATGGTATGGGAACATTAACTTTTTAAGCCACAAACAGATAGTATGCCCCAAATATTGTGGTATCACATGAAATTGATTCCTGTTTTGAATTAATTTTCTGCACCTTTTATTTCTACCCACGGTCAAGAACTGTCCGATTTGATTAAATGTTTTGAAGCATCTACCTCCCTGGTGGATGGACAGTGAGATTCACTTTATGACTGTAAGGAGCATTACCGTTGGAGGGGGGAGAGGTGGTGGTGGTGAATAGTGAATACCCCGTGAGGTCAGATTGATTACGGTGTAGAAGAGATGGAAGAATAATATCCAAGAGAAAGGGCCAGAGAAGGCAGAGATGAGAACATGCTTTAATTCAGTCGCTGACAAAGTAGGTAGGTGGAATGGATGTACATGTGGAAATTGACTAGATGACTTTGTATTAGCATTTAAAAGAGTTGAGCACCCCTAGAGCCCTGAAAGTGAAGGGGGGTTGGACGGAAGGCCCCAGTAGGGATGGAGGCCTGGCCACGCGGGGGGGGGGGAGTGCTGTCCGGGAAGCGGGACTGTGTTGAGCCAATCAGGCTGGGGCCTCAGCACCTGTGGGCAGAACCCTGTACTGACAAACTGTTTAGTAATAAAGATTTATATTCTGTGCTTCAAAAAATGCTGCTTGTGGTCTGTAGTGATTTTTCTTTTTTTCACAAGGTAGAAGTCATGAAATAACTTGAATTAAAGCTGAACCTTTCTGAACTGGATCGGGGTTTGAATGAAACTAGCAGTGAAAACTTGGTATGCGTACTGCTGGCACTCCCTTGCTGAGGTCCGCGGTGTGGCCAGAGCCCCAAGCGTCTTAGCCTCACAGAGCAGGGACAGACAGACTCAGGCTGCGGTTCCTGCCGTCACCCTGGTGCAGCCCTGTGATGCCGTCGGCAGGTAGATGGCTGGGATGCACCTGTCTGCCGCCACACCATCCTGTGAACTCTCGTCGGCAGGAGCTGGGGATTCGCCTCAGGAGCAATGTGCCGCATTAGGCTGCCTTGTATTCCAGAGGCTTCCCCGAAGATGCCATGCAATTCACTCCCCACATGTTTTTAGACTGAATTGGTCAAAGAAGGCTGTGTGTCCTGTTTACCAGCTAAAAGTTGCTGCAGCTGTTTGCAGGGACTTGGCCTTCTAGTTTTATAATTAAACATTTTATGGATTTTTAAGATTTGTGACATTCAACTAATTCTCACATTTTTTGCAAAGTGAGGGTCTAATATGTTATTTTAGATTTGTGTAATTCAAACTGATGTAAAATGCAGTCATGCTATGTTAGGGAGGAGAAAGGAAACGGAAGGGGCGACCCGTGTAAGATGATAGCAAGTACTACAGCTTGGGGTTCCCTTCAAGTACGGCTGCTAATGAAAAGTGCCCTTAGACTTGCTTCTTGAGTTCCCCTGGGGATCGTTCAAGAACTCAGTAAGCATGCTTTTACCTCAGTGGGATTTCTGTGGATCCGCTGTAATACGAATCAGAAGTCCTCCATCCCGTTAATGAGAGGTGGGTGGGGCAAGAAGAGCCAGTGGAGACCGGGAGGCAGTTGAACCATCCTGTGACAGTGCGGGCACATCCTTCAGGAACTCCAGATGAGTCTTCCACAGTAATGGGTCCGAGTTTCTTGAGCCCTCAGCCTCGAGGCAGTTTCAAGATCTAAAGATGCCACAAATGTCACTAAACACTTGGGAGCTCTAGGGCAGACGTCAATAAGCCTTATCTGTAAAGGGCCAGATAAGGGACTCTCTTTGGCTTTGGGGTCTCTTGTCTGCCCTTGGAGGGTGGAAGCCAGAATGGGTGTAGCTGTTTTCCAGGAAAATTTATCTACCAAAGTCAGCAGGATTTGGCCCCTCGGCTATCGTTTGTGAATCTGCAAGCTCTAGACTATAAATACTAATGAAAGTTGGAGAAATGAAGCAGTGTTACGGGTTCAGGAGCAGTGAGATGGTAGGAATAGTTGAGCTGGTGCCAAGGGCTGCTCAGAGTGCTGTCTTCACTTTACAGATGGTGCTGCCGTTCACGGGCACCATCACGCTCTTAACCGCACACTTGGAGACTCGGACCATCCGGAAGAAGTCCACTGAGCCATCTCATTCATCTGCTGAAGGCACAGAGAGTGGGGGGCAGAAACTTTGAGTCCATTTTAGGGAAATCTCCTTGGAAAGGAAGGGTCAGTGGCAGCCTTTCAGAAATAGAACTAGTGATGACAAAGTCACCTTCAAATGAGAATGCTTCCATCCATCCTCACCGCGTTGCTGTGGAGAAAAAGCCTCAACATCTCTTCGTAGGAATTGGGTGTTTTCAGGCTTTGAATTTGCAGGAATGGTACAAAGAATTGTGTCAGACTTCTGGATTCTCACATGTTCCTGTTTTATACTTGATTTATTTCCTCTCCTCTCTACAACTCTGTTTATGTGTGTGTGTGTGTTTTTTTCCTGAACAGTGTAAGATATGATGTTCCTTTACTTTTAAATCCATAAGTGGCTGTTTCCTATAAACAGGGATATTCTTTTATATATTACAACATAATTACTAAATTGGAAATCTATCATTGATACAGCTCTATTATCTCGGCCACAGATCTAACTCGGATATTACTGATTATCCCAATGATGTCCTTTATAGTAAAAGAAAAAGGCACTCTTACACACTTTGATGAATCTGCTTTTCCCCAAAAATATTTGCCCTGGCCCATATAATCAGAAGTTAGGGCCACACTCCTTACAAATTACACGTTTAGTAAAATCAAATGTGTGAATTTATTGTTGAGAAAAATCACTGAATAACCATTTCCTTCTGCCCTTCTGATTAGAGAGGAATGGGAAGACTGTCAGTAAAGAGGCCAAATGCTAGCTCTTTTAAAGTCTACTCCCATCATTAGTTGCAAGTGTGAATGCAGTGTGATTAGAACGTGCTAGAATTGTGGGTCAGAAATGAATATGACCTTACATAGTGTCATTGGCTAGATTTTTTTTTTAAAAAAGGTTAAATTTACTAAGGTTGCCCTCAAGTATACATAATCCTGTTGGGCTAGGTAAGAGTTATTTTCCAAGGGTACCTAATCAGTGCTGGACCTGTTCTTTGTTTCTGTTTTTTGTTATGTTTGTTTTTTAATCAGAGTCTAAATATTTTGGGTTTCTGAACTGAAAATTGTTGCCCTTGAGTCAGGTTGTTATTGGGCTAAGGTGAAAACATCTCTGAGAGGCAGATAAATTATGTCATGTGTGTTTTGTTTTGTTTTGTTTTTAGATTTTATTTATTTGAGGGAGAGCGAGAGAGTGAGAGCAAGAGCAGGGGAAGGGGCAGAGGGAGAGGGAGAGGGAGAAGCAGACTCCCCACTGAGCAGGGACCCTGACGTGGGGCTCCATCCCAGGACACCGAGATTATGACCTGAGCTGAAGGCAGACCCTTAACTGACTGAGCCACCCAGGTGTCCCTATGTCCTGTGTCTTTAATCAAAGTAAATTTTTTTGGTGTAGCAAATAGATTTTCTTAAAATTTAAGAGTAAGTTTCATTTGGAAATTATCTTAGCTCCTAGCCAACAGTTCCTGGCCCCTACTTTGCTGTCCCTGTCCGAATGTGGGCCTGGAGTTCTGGTGTACTCGGCCCACGTGTTTGTTTCCCCCACTTCAGTATGGGTTAGAGTTCTGTGTTCCAGGTAGCAGATCTTCAGACGTTTCTGTGTCCAGGTGGAGTTGTCTTCTCCGAAGAGGCATTTCAGCCTTGTCGCTAATAGGATTGTCTTACATTGTGTGGCCTGGTTTTGGGTGGGGGGTGGGGAGAGTGTTGGGGTCTGAGACCCAGAGCACCTTGTTCTGGCTGTTTGGCTCAGGGCAGACTCTTCAGTGTCTCCTCCAGGGGAAGGGCAGCCCCAGCCCCACATGCCCGGGTTGTGTGGGGGCAGATGGGAGCATTCGGGAAGCCTGCAGCTCAGCATTCACCAGGCTTCCGTCCTTCGTGCCCTTTGCAGCCTGGACTCCCAAGTCCCCATCCCGTTTCACACAGGCTTCCTGGTGTTCTTGAGCATAAGAGGAAGGCATACTAGTTTGATTAAGACGTTTGATGACTAATGTGGCTTTAAAAAAATTAAAATGTAGAGACATGCTTTACATGGACATTTTGATTGCATGGACTTTCTTTCAGTCTTAGACCCTTAATTTTGGGGTTCCACATGCAGTTTCTTCTTTATTGTTTTCCATGACTTAGTATTCACTACACATCAAGAACTATGACCTTGAGTAAGACAGTGCCAAGATGCTGTATCTGGTATCAAGACCATAAACTTAGATCCCCTGGCCTCCACGATGATAGGGGCATGGGGTGTGTCTGCCCACTACCGAGCCCGTGTGAGGGCTGTGCACAGTCAGCCAGTGTCCCTGACATCACCTTCGTAAGTCTTCTTAGACTTTGTTTTCTGTTCTAGATCAT